TGGGATCATTGCACATTGCAGTCTTTTGGCTCTGACTTGGCAGCATCCTAGGAATCGAAGACGCCCACGGCGAATCACCGCCGCCCGCTGCCCCTTCGGAAGCGCCTGTGTGGCCCACAGCTGAGCCAGAGCTTGGCCAAGCTATCGGGCCAGTTGTTCCCCGAGTCCGTCTGAACAGCCTCCTGGGCCGTCTTGGGGGCCTCTTGGGGCCGTCTTGGGGGCCTCTTGGGCCGTTTTGAAGTAATTTTGGAGGCATCTTGGGCGATCTTTAGGCGACCTTTGGGTGCTCTTGGGCCGTCTCGGGCCGTCGGCCGAAAAGAAGCAACTGTCAAAATCCTTCAAAACCCATGGGCAATCAGTGTTTTTGGCCTTCTCTGGCCTTCCTGGAGGCCCTCATGGAGGCCTCTTGGGCTGTCTTGGGCCAGCTTCGAGTCAACTTCGGCCAACTTGGTGGGCTCCTGGCCCGTCTGACGCCGTCGGAAGCCGTTTGGGGGGCCTTTCTGGGCCGACTTGGGGCCCTCTTGGGGTGCTACAGGGCCGTCTTAGAGGCCATCTTGGGCGCCTTGGAGGCCTCTTGGGTCGTCTTTGTGCCCTCTTGGGGCCGTCTTGGGGGCCTCTTGGGCAGTCCTGAGACCATTTTGGAGGCATCTTGGGCACTGTGGGGGCGATCTTGGGGGCCTCTTGGTCCGTCTTGGGTTGTCGGAAAGCTGAAAAGGAGCAAACACGAACAACCTTTCAAAAACCAACGGAAAATCAATGATTTTGGTCTCTTCGGGCCCTCCTGGATGACCTCTTTGAGGCCTCTTGGGCCGTCTTGGAGGCCTCTTGGAGGCCTCTTGGGCCGTCTTGGACTCTCTTGGGCCGTCTTTGCCGTCTTGGGCCATCTTCGGCGAACTTGGAGGCCATCTTGGACTATCTTGGAGGCCATCTTGGGCCAACGTGGCCATCTTGGAGGCCATCTTGAGTCATTTTCGATGAGTTTCTCCGGATTGAGGTCCTTTCCGGGTAGCCAGGGGAGTTCTTTTGGAAAAAGAACCAACACCAAAAACGATAGGATTTGGCACGCCAGGCACCCCTCTTGCAAGCAAGGTGGCGGCGGATTGCTAGCGGTTGGCCCAGCCCGCCACCGCGCCTGAGTAGTGCACCCCAGGCCCTTGGCACCCCTCTTGGGGTCTTTCGGGAGCTTCTTTCGGGAGCCTCGGAGCCTCTAGGGGTGTCGGACGTAGGAGTCTCCTGTGGGCCTCTGAGCGGTCTGGCGTCGTTGCGTTTTTGGGCCCCTTGCGAGGGCGTCCTGGAGCCCGTCGCGCCCCTCTTTGGGGCCTTGGGGGCCGTCTCGAGGCGATCCCGGGGGCCTCTGACGCTTGGGCTGCCCTGCAACTTGTTCAAGACCGAGAAGTGCGAGACTGCGAAACACTGCTCAAGAGGGTGCCCAGTCAGAGCTCAGTCAGAGCTCCTTCTCCCGGCTGTCCTTGTACCAGCTCGCTGGCAGCACTGTGCTTTCGCTGGTCGACTGCACAGCCGACAGAGATGCTCGCGCCAGCGTGCGCGATCCCGCGACAGACACCAAAGGCGCATGTACGCATCTGGCCTTTGGTCACGTTCGTGGGATCAGTCTTTTGGCTCTGATTTGGCAACATCGTAGGAATTGCTAGCCGTCGGCCCAGCCCGCCACCGTGCCTGTTTTGCGGACCCCAAGCCCTTGGCAAGCCTTGGCACCCCTATTGGGGTCTTTCGGGAGCCTCTTCAGGATTCTTTCGGGGGCCTCCTCGGAGCCTCTCGGGGGCATCGTTGGAGTCTCCTGCGGGCCTCTGAGCGGTCTGGCGTCGGTGCGTTTTTGAGCCCCTCGTGAGGTTGTCCTACAGCCTGTCGCGCCCCTCTTTGGGGCCTTGGGGGTCGTCTCGAGGCGATCCTGGGGGCCTCTGACGCTTGGGCTGCCCTGCAACTTGTTCAAGACCGAGAAGGCGAGATTGCGAAACTTTGCTCAAGAGAGTGCCCAGTCAGAGTTCCTTCTCCTTGCTGTCCTTATACCGGCTCGCTGGCAGTACTATGCTTTTGCTGGTCGATTGAACAGCCGACGGATCGCGACAGCGTGCGCGATCCCGCGACAGACACCAAAGTTGCATGTTCGCATCTGGCCTTTGGTCACGTTCGTGGGATCATTGCACATTGCGATATTTTGGCTCTGATTTGGCAACATCGTAGGAATTGCTAGCCGTCGACCCAGCCCGCCACCGTGCCTGTTTTGCGGACCCCAGGGCCTTGGCGCTCCTCTCGGGGTCGTTGGGGAGCCTCTTTAGGATTCTTTCGGGGGCCTCCTCGGAGCCTCTCGGGGGCATCGTGGGAGCCTCCTGTAGGCCTCTGAGCGGTCTGGCGTCGTTGCGTTTTTGGGCCCCTTGCGAGGTCGTCCTGGAGCCTGTCGCGCCCCTCTTTGGGGCCTTGGGGGCCGTGTCGAGACGCTCCCGGGGGCCTCTGACGCTTGGGCTGCCTCGCAAGTTTTTCAAGACCGAAAAGGCGAGACTGCGAAGCACTGCCCAAGAGAGTGCCTAGATGATGGCAGGCAGAGCTCAGTCAGGTTGTACCAGCTCGTCGCTGGCAGCACTGTGCTTGCGCTGGTCGACTGCACAGCCGACAGAGATGCTCGCGCCAGCGTGCGCGATCCCGCGACAGACACCAAAGGCGCATGTTCGCATCTGGCCTTTGGTCACGTTCGTGGGATCATTGCACGTTGCAATGCTTAAGCTTTGATTTGGCAACATCGTAGGAATTGCTAGCCGTCGGCCGTCGGCCCTGCCCGCCCTTGCCTGAGTAGTGCACCCCAGGCCCTTGGCACTCCTCTTGGTGTCTTTGGGTAGCTTCTTTCGGGGGCCTCCTCGGAGCCTCTCGGGGGAGTCGTGGGAGCCTCCTGTGGGCCTCAGAGCGGTCTGGCGTCGGTGCGTTTTTGGGCCCCTCGCGAGGTCGCCCTGGAGCCTGTCGCGTCCCTCTTTGGGGCCTTGGGGGCCGTCTCGAGGCGATCCCGGGGGCCTCTGACGCTTGTGTTGCCTTGCAATTGTTTCAAGACCGAGAAGGCGAGACTTCGAAGCACTGCCCAAGAGGGTGCCCAGTCAGAGCTCAGTCAGAGCTCCCTCTCCCGGCTGTCCTTGTACCAGCTTGCTGGCAGTACTATGCTTTTGCTGGTCGACTGAACAGGCGACAGAGATGCTCGCGCCAGCGTGCGCGATCCCGCGACAGACACCAGAGGCGTATGTTCGCATCAGGCCTTTGGTCACGTTCGTGGGATCATTTGACAATGCATTATTTCTGTCTTGAATTGACGAGCACAATGGTAGGATTTGCTAGCCGTTGAGCGTGTGGGAGTCGATGAGATAGCGCCGATGTAGCGTCTGTTAGCGTTGATTTAGCGTCGATTGGCGTCGAGTCGCAAGATCTGACAAGGTGGTAAGGGAGGCTCCCATGAGCTGCCACCGAAGATCATGAAACAAGCTCCCCTTCTCAGCTGATCATGGCTCCAGTCATGACCCCGGAGGCCCCGAAGGCCCCCACGAGTGCCCGAGGGGCCCACAAGAGCCCCCGAGGTGGAAGCCAAGCCAGCCTCGGGACGGCTCCAAGATGGTCCAAGACCGCCCCAATATTGCTCCACGACAGCCCCCGCAACGGCGGCAATGTCCCCCCCAACTGGTCCCGCAAAGCACCGAGTTGTCCCAAGATGACCCTACGGGGTCCCAGGAGGCCCTGTGCGAAGTCGACAGAGTAAAGTATGATTCCAAGAGGGCCCCAATATGATCTTGTGGGGGAAGCCAGCGATCCCACGCGCCCTCTCGGGGGAAGTGGAGCGCAGGGTCGGAGAACTGGTAGATGCGTCTAGGGTTTGTTCCTGTTGTAGAGCAGGTCCCACATGGCACTCCAACTTCTGCGGCGTCGTTCAAGCCGTGTCGATCTGTGTTGGTCCCGGGGCCCGAGCCTGGGCGAGGGCGCCCTGATGTGGACAAGATGCAAGGGTCGGGGGCGGAAAAGAGGGGGGTGATGACTAGGGGGGGGGTGGATATCATGGCGGGGGCCATGATAGTTCCCCAGATCTCATGGCGCCCCTGCTGATTTCATTACGTCCCCAGCCCCCCCCCCTTGGGCCGCGCACATGCCGCCGGTCATGATTTGCACCCCCCCCTCTTGGACACCTCCCTCTTGGCCGCTCCCGAAAGGGCGCCCTCGAGGGCGCGAAGTTCTTCGCGCTGCTGGCGCTTCCCGCCTCGGCCCCGATGCCTCCTCGCGCTCTTCTTCTCCCGGCACCGCTCGGACGTGTGCAGTTTTTCCTTCGGCGAGGGCCATCGAGGAGCATCCTCGAGCACTTGGCGAACAAAAACCACGCACGAGACCGAAACAAGCACACGGGGAATGGACGTCCGAGCGATGGCCAGGTCTCCCCTGGGGGTCGGCGCGAGTCGCGCTCTCGCTCCTCTCGCGGTGCGCAGCGCGAGAGCGCCAAGTGGGGCGCCCCTGCATATTGCAGCGTGCAGATTTCGGGGCCGGATCGCCCTGATTCGGCCACTTTTGGTTTGTTTGCGTGTTAGTTTCAGGCTCAGAGTGCTCCAAGCAGGGGGCCCAAGAATCCGACAAGAGCCCCCCAAAGGGCCCTCTCAACCGACGAGGTGGCCCAAGAAGGCCTCCAGAGCGGCCACAAGACAGCCCGAGACCGCCCCAAGACGGGACTGGACCCCACCAAGGATCCCCTCATTCCCCCAAAGGGCCCCAAGGTGCCCGACGGAACCCAAACATGGCCCAAGAGGCCCCAAGATAGCCCCCGGGAAACCCAAGAACGCGGCTAAGAAGCCCCAATATGACTCCAAGAAGGCTGCAGTGCAGGAGGAAACCAGCGATCTCGCGCCCCCCTGAGTGCAGGGTGCTTTCCGTGTTCGCGCTGGCCAGGTCGGAAGTTCGCCTGGATTGTTGGGCTGGCGAGTTTCTGCGCCTTCTCATCCCTCCGCCGCCGTCTCCTGGGAGGACAGCCTGAAGCGTATGCGCAACCGGTGCAACGAGAGTGCCGAAGTGATGGACGATGTTCGGCAGGGCCTGTGGAAGATGGCCACTGTCGGGCAGGCGGGGCGCAACGTGCTCACCCTGAAGGTCTCAGCGGGGAAGACGAGGCGGAGGAGGGCCACAGAGGTGTGGACGATGAGACAGGAGGAACAGGAAGGGCAGGTATGAGGAACAAGCAGATGGTGCCCCGATGAGGGGGACGAGGAGGAGGGAGGAGGAGGAGGAGGAGGAGGAGGAGGAGGAGGAGGCAGCAGCAGAGCAGCGTCACGGCGGCCGATCCGCGGCCACACGCTGCCCTTGGCGCCCGCGCGTTGCAGAAGATGGTCCCGGTGAAGACCCGTGCCTCGAAGGCGGCCGGCGGGCGCCAGGCCGCCGTGGCGGCTTGCCCGCCAACCTTCGAGAGACATTCTGGCCCCGCCTCCGCCCATGAGAGCGTCGAGCGTCATTCAATCCTCCTCCCCCTCCTCCTCCTCCTCCTCCTCCTCCTCCTCCTCCTCCTCCTCCTCCTCCTCCTCCTCCTCCCACTCCTCCTCCTTTGCCGATCGGCGCGCCCCCCCCCGATGACGATGTCTCCTACCAAGGTCCTCCATGAGATCAGAAATCTGGCGCTCGAGGGAGCCGCGCGGGGCGCTCCCGTAAGCCTCCGTGCCGCCCGTCGCGATGAGGTGGTCCATGATGATGGTCTTGATGTTCCTGATCTCCCTGTGGAGCCGGATGTACACCTTGCACAGATTCCAGTCCCAAGCGTCTTGCACCTTGAACTCAACCTGTGTTTGGCGAGGATGTCGCTCTTCGGCGGGTGGTTCGTGAAAAACTCGTTGAGCGTCGTGACGGACCTTGGGGTCAGTCGGCTCCAACGTCTTCTTCACCTCGAGGAGAAACGGCATCATGGCAATCACGTCGGGAGACCCCTCCTTCTGGCCGCTGACGCCCTTGGTCCTCTCGTTGTGGGCTTTCTGAGCCGCCTGGGCAGCTCCGACGAGGGGGGTCTCGGACTTGACCTTGGCTGTGCGGTGCACGATAGCGCTCACCATGAGGAGGAGGAGGAGGAGGAGGAGGAGGAGGAGGAGGAGGAGGAGGAGGAAGAGGAGGAGGAGGAGAGGGGGGGAGGGGGAGGGGGAGGAGGAGGAGGAGGAGGAGGAGGAGGAGGAGGAGGAGGAGGAGGAGGAGGAGGAGAAAATCAACAAGCGGAAGATGTGGTCGTCCCTGTCCAAAGACGCACGGCTTGCCGGAGCCGGGTGCTAGGCCGCCGGTGCGCCGGGGAGCTCGGCTTCCCAGGCGGATGACCTGAGGCTCCTGCGCGACAGGCTACGCCTTAGGCGATGCTTAAGAAAACCTAAGTTTTCGTCCAGAGTCTCGATTATTCTTAACTTTTCAATATAAATCCCAAGATGTTGATAGAAGTTCTGGGTTTTATTCCATTTCTGAGACTATGAATTTCTTAACCCATGATTTCTTAAGCATTTCGCAGGGTGTACGCCAAGAGAGTGCACGGCAGATCGGTACGAGAGTTGCCGCTCGAGGCAAAATGGCTACGAAAATGCGCCTTGGCATGTTCCCAAACTTCGAGATTACGTTCACAAGGTGGGCACTCGACAGGCTCGAGTTTGGTCAGCCTGGCTGTGGCGGACCCGCGGGCCCACCGAGGATCGCGGTACCTCCTCTCCAACGACCTCAATCCTCTTCAGACAAGACGGGCATTGATCGGAAACCGTACACGCATGAGCAAGCTCTCGAAGACCATGCCCTTCTGCACGACTATTGACCTGATGTAACAAGCATTCGCGTCGGCTGGAAATCTTTTGATCACACGGCCTGCCGGAAATCCAAGATCGTACACATCCCTGCAAGGCTCAATGAAGTCGTTCCCTCTCCAGGCCAATGCGCGGGCGTCTCCAGAGGGGCCGGAGGCGGCGGTGCAGGAACGAAGCAACGAAGCCTGGAGGTGGAATGGCACTCGAATAAAGCTGTGCCCGTAGGATCGCGGGGTCAGCCCGAAGAAATGTATTGCTGATGTCCCGGTCGGTGAACAACAGCGCACGTGACTTTTGCAAGCGTCTCCGGTCCTGCACCATCTGCCACGCCCATGGTTGAGCACGCGTCTGTAGGATACGATCAGAATCCAGCGGAGGTTTACCGCACTCGAACTCGCCAAACAACGACGCGAACAACTGCGTGCACACCTCCGGGTGGCGAGCCGCTGGCTGATACCAACGCAGACGCTGCACTCGAAGTTCAACAGATGCAGGACAAAACCTTGCCTGACGGGCCACAGCTGCATTTAGGCTCTTCTGCCGGCGCGTACCGTCGGGCTGGAGAGTGCCACGCTGGAGTGTACCCACTCGTCGCATAAGGCTGCCCGTGAGGGTCGTCGACTCTTCCTCCCGCAGCGCGTGAATGAGAGGACCAGCCGCCGCAGCCCCCACGATCACAGGATTGAGTGCTGAGTGCGTCCGGCGGGGAAGCGGGCACCTCGCCAGAATGTGCCGAGGGAGTGCCAGGCGGCGTCCGTTGCACGTAGACAACGTCGAAGTGCAGCAGAGATGGTGTCACCAGCAGACGAGCGGGGACCGAGGTATCGTGCCATCGACTGGACGGCAGCACCGAGGGCGCGGTGCTGCGCGGTCCTCGTAGCTTCGCCGACGCCAGCGCCGAATAGTCGTGTCACAGTTTGGCACTTGCGCGCGGCATGCACGAAGTTCCCCGCAAAAAGTACGCTCGTGAGGTTACGAGAGATTGTGTTCGCATAATGTTCAGCTCGGCCAACGTCGGGAACCAGTGTAAATTTATGTATGTCGTCGGCGTACGCGTTAAGATCCACGGGGACTTCTGCACAGCATGGTCGGCCGCTAACGTCTGGCAACCAGTCGCACTCAGCGTACAATCGTGGCTCGCTTGCTGTCCAATGAAATATGTCCATGTACTAGTGGTACACAGCAATATACCAAACACAAGCAGTAATATCGCCAGGCAGCGCGCCTGACCCCAAAGCCATGTACACGATGCAACGGCATGGTGCAGATGTTGTTCCGAGAAGGCGATGAATATTTGGTCGACGTAGCACCCCCTAATACATGCCATGCGATCCGAGAACGAGGCGTAGTGGAAAGCGTTAGTGGCATCGAAAAACTGGTTGAGATGCGAAACCTATGCCTTATGCAAGGCGCCGCTGCATGATTTCTATGGTGCCGATGGCCTGCTCCCGGCGTGCGTCGGCGCAGTGTCCCGCGGCATGCGGGCGCTCGTCGTTGTGAGCCCCATCGCTGCCACAAGTATCAATAGAAATACTTGCCGTAGGTGTCCGTAGAATGCAGAAGTCGCCTGCCAGGTACTCCAGATTTCCCATTGTTCGTCGATATGTGGAAGCTGCCGACAAGATGCATGAGGAGAGGGGTCTGCCGAGCCCGCTCAATGCAAGCGTGCAACAACAGAAGTGCATGACGAAGACGCGCGTTTGACAGTCTGGCGGGGCGACCTCCAAATCCGGAGCGACAAGACCGGCTGTAGCAATTCGGCCGGAGACGGATGTGCCAGGCCAGGGCGGGGGCAGCGGACGCCCGGGGCTGCGATCTTCATGACATGCGGCGCTCTTGGCGAACCAGTCGGTGTCCTGACGGGCCGCGCCGCCAAGCGGACCAGAAGCCGCGAGCGCGTCCCGTCACTCGTTCGCAGAATTGCAAGCCGCGCCTGCAACGCGCAACAGCCGTCTCTTCGGTCCGAGCCAAGCCCCCGCAAGCAATCGCGTTGACTTCCAACATGTAGCAAACTGACGAGCGCGATAGTTGAGCCGCAAAGTTTGCTGATGCATCTTTTGCCAACGTTTCTAATCGCGTCGCCAGAGTGTTGAACTCGACGGCCTGATTGTTTAAGAAGATCATGCGCTTCATAGTCGTCCACTCTTGTGTATGACCACGCTGCCGAAACCGCTGGTATGTGTCGCGCCGCGTGCGCAAGGCCTGGGCTGAGTCATCGGGCAGTTGTGTACGCCTGCATGGGGTGAGCACGTGGTCGTCGACAGCATTTCCAACGGCGCGCACAGCAACGTCGTTAAAGGGGTCAGGCGAACTCTCCCGCGCAAGTGGCTGGACATCAGCCTCGCGAAGTGCCCGTTCACACCTCTGCACTGCAGCCTCCTGACCAGTTCCAAACAGTTCAGTTTGCCATGAGCCGGTCGTGGTCTCAACGTTTGTCACGTGAAAGGCTGTCGTTTTTTTGGGTCAGTTTTGGTACTGCAGGTGCAAGAGCGCCTTGGTGACCAGAGGTCGGTGGTCCCGGCGCCGCACGCAAGTCCCAAGCTGCAGAGTATCACCGGCGCGTTCCCAAATTTCACACCGATCGACACGACAAAGGTGAAAGGTCGGCTTACAATTGTAGTCGGCTGCGGAAGTTGACGGCGGTGCAGAATTCGAATAGATCGTGGGTCCTGGATAGTGGAGTGTTGACGAGGGTCAACCAATGTTTTCGAAGCGTGTCTGCGCAATGCCTACCCTGTTTGGTCTGAGCTTTGTGCGACACTGGCCCAATAATATGTTGCTCATCTGCCTCCAAGCCAGCGTTTGCGTCAACAAAGAGAACGGGACAACACCTGTCAGGGAGTTCCGATGCAACTGCATTGATCCACTTGCATACCGAGATACCCACTGGTAAACTGCCAGATCCAGGAGGTAAGTACGCCACTATGAAACAGACATCTGCCATAGGATGTTGTACCCGAATGGCACCAACTCGCCCCTGGTTCCTTGCATTGGTGGGGCCCCACGGCTTGACAACTCTTGGACACATCCCTCGCTTGATACCGATAGCCACGCCAGAGTGCGAATGTGTCTTGCCCCACTTGTACACATCAAAGTCCCGTACCCGGCTGACCCCGGCCTCGCAGATCGGAACAGAGACGTCTTGCCGAGCACACTGAATGCCGAAAGACTTGCATGCTCGGAACTGATTGGCGGCATCGTGCCATCTACCGCTTTTGCACATCGACTCCGCGTTTTAAGAGGCCAGAAGCACGCCGCCATCACATGCTTGCTGTACGGGCACTGTGAGAATGTAGGGTGAACAGCGTCGCGCATGTGCTGTAATTGCGCGATGCGTGCCTACACTCGAGTGCGCACTTAGGAGGAGGAGGAGGAGGAGGAGGATAAGGCAAAAGACGAGGAAGATGTGGAGGAGGAATCGGAAAATGATGATGGGAGGAAATAGATGGCAGGGGGGAGGCGTGATTATGAGTTTCATCCTATGGCCACGCTGCCTTTGTGCTTCCCCCGAAGTACCGCAAGCTGTCGCGCCTTTCAGAACAGCAGCACACCGCTGAGTATGCGGAGCTGGCGAACAAGCTCTGCGCCATCCTGCGGTGTAGCGTCAGGAGTCAGGACGGAGAAGCACGGGACGCCAACGGAACGACCGGCGCTGGGGACGTTCAGAGGCCAGCAACATATGTACACGTACGCGGTTAGCTTCCCCTGGAGTGCGTGTCAATGCGGACGCTCGTGCAGGCAAGACCGCGGAGGGCGTACATGTACATATGTCGTTGCTCGCCCAGGACGTGGCAATGAAATTTGTGCTAACCTTGACCATGCCCATCTTGGGCATGTGGGTCGTGTGTAGCCATCCTGGTCCATAAACTGAGCGGTGAGGCTTGGGGAGGTGTTAAGGGGTGTCGGGTTGCCGATTTCCAAGGTGCAGCGATACCTCTTGTCCGAGATCTACACAGGCAGGACGGGGAGTATACCTGGTTTAAGCTGTCAGAGTGGATGCAAGTCGAGATCATAGATATATTTGCGAAGTCTCTCGATCACACTCCGTGGTTCCGCTTCCCGTTCAAGGATTTCTTGCGCATCTATTTCCGGGTGTTGTTGCAAGAGGCGTCGGTGGTGGAGGCAAAGTTAGGATTTATGAAGGCGTATTTCAGTTCAGCCTTCATCACTGACCTGATCCCCGGAGTGGTCATGGCTGTGCTCTTCGGTCAATTGCAGTGGCTGGCGGCGCCGCTGGTCGCTACACAGTCTGGGTATGAGGACCAAGATAAGGAACGCCTGTTAGAAGAGCTGGTTCTACACCACCCCCCTGCCATTGACCACTCTATCTTTGGAGAGGGCGGTACCGCGCTGACCCCCAAGGGGGGCATGGAGAGGCAGAGGTGCGGGAAGGCCTTCCGGCCGGAGATCTCACTGGGCAGTCGCGGCACAGACACGATCACCGCGCAGGCCGAGCTGAACGTGCAGCGGCAGCAGCGGGAGCGGACGGAAGGGTCGCAGACTGCCCAGGGGAGGGGGCCGATCCCCTTCTCGAGCGCGAGCGACCAGCGCAATAGCTCCCTGGGCCAGTTCTGGTACAGCATCCACCCGAGCATCGCGCAGGTGAGGCGAATCTCTCCGATGCTGAGCGTGGTGGCCACGCCGCCCTTCAAGACGATGGGGGACGTCCTACTGAACATCGCCGTGCGCATCCCGGGCGCCACGTGTTTGCAGATCAGCAACCAGTCAGAGGTGCAAGTCCGAATCTCGGTGAACACGGTGGTCGAAGATGCAGCACGGGGCTGCGCCAGCGGCACGGAGGGCCGTGCTCCCACCAGCGGTGGGGAGGCCGGGGGAATCGCGAAGGAGCAGCAGGACAGGATCGCAGCGTCGATCAGGGAGAAGCTGGAGAGGAACCGGGGGGTGAAGGTGCTGAGCACATATTCCTATCCTCTGGACGGGCCGCACCCCAAGCAGGCGCCCCCGAAGCTGCAGATGGCCCTCGGCGTGCAGGCGCCCCAGCTGCTGTGCCTGATTCGGGACTGCATTGCGCAGGGCATCTGCGTCGAGCAGATCTACGACTTCTGGTGCGGATAGTTCTGCGCGAGCACCTCGGTCGAAATGGGTCGCACCTCGCGCAGGCCCCTCCCAGGTCGGAGGCGGCCCCCGTCGCCGACGCATCCAGGTCGATGTGCCCTCGTGCGCGACTGCACTGTGCAGGGCTTCTCTGGTACTGTTGCTGCTTTTCAGGGCGATGGGCGAGCCAGGGCGCCCGTGCGCAGGGGTCTGGCAACCATGGGAAGGTGATCGACACAACGAGGTGATGAACTGGGAGGTGATCTGTAGCGATTCTCAGTTGTGCCGTATGTCTCGGGGGTGGACAGAACCCCCAACAGTGACACGTCGATTAGTGAATTGTCCGTTTTCGGTTCTCGAGAGGGCGCCGCGGCCGCTATTTTCCAGGCTTGCGCCCGCCAGGTTTGGGCCTCAGGTCGTTTTCACTAAACCACGTTTTACTAAAGGGAGGTCTGTCCATCCCCGAATGTCGTCAGGAAGTGTTTTGGGGTTCTCTGGTTATTGCGAAGGCCTAACGGCCGGGGCCGCCGACCCTGAAGGCGGGATCTCCGCCAGGAGCTCCGCTGGCGACCCCTCCCCGTTACCCCCCTGGGACCCCAGGCGGGCGTTCTTCTGACCCGTGCCCCCCCCCCCCGTCCGGTATCAAAGGAAAGGGGTTTCCCTTCGAGTTCACGTGACGTCCCTCAATTTCATTGCTCCTGGATCTCATTGGGTCTGACGACGGCACCGTCTTCCACACGCCGAAGGGTCGGCGGATGGGCTGTTTGGCTCTTGGATTGTTTCGAGTGCTCGCTCGTGTGTGCGTATGACTTCTGTTTCGTGCTGAACTATATCGGGCCCAGGTGCGGGCAATACTTTTGTCCATGTCCACTGCAGTATGGAGTTTCGGGCTCCCTTCCCAAGAAACCCGAGGCGCACTGGATGTGGATAAGTTTGCCCCCCAGAGGCCCGATTGTTATCCATAATTATCCAGTGCGCCTCGGCCTCGTGGCGCCGCTTCCCAAAAAAGTCCAAGAGGCACTGGATATGGACATGAATCTTGCCCGCACCAGGGTACTCTCGGGCCGGGCGAAAGGGGGGGATTGGGAAAGGGGGGGTTACGAAATTTGCTGCGTGCAGCTGGTTTCGGCCTCACCGAGGGGCCAATTCCTCGATACATGGGCCGCCTCCCGGCGCCGGGAGGCGCCGGGAAAATCAGCTACGTGAGCTGATTCTCAACCCCCCTTTGCTATCCCCCCCTTTCGCCCGACCCGAATGAATCTTGCCCGCACCAGGGTACTCGGCCCGATGGCGACCGCGGATTCCCCGAGCTCGGGGCGCCCCGAGCCCGGGCGGTGCCTCGGCGTCCTGCCCACGGGCCCCGCCCGCCCGTGCCTCCGGCGTGCCCGGCGAGTGCGTGCGGCGCAGGCGGTTTTTGCGCCGCTCGGCCGCGTCGGGCTCCGTGCGGGCGGAGGCGCTTCCGCCCCCGCCCGTCACCCTCCTCCGCCTCCTCCTCCTCCTCCTCCTCCTCCTCCTCCTCCTCCTCCCCCTCCTCCTCCCTCCTCCTCCTCCTCCTCCTCTCCTCCTCCCCTCCTCCCCCTCCCCCTCCCCTCCTCCCCCCTCCTCCCCCTCCTCCTCCTCCTGCTCCTCCTCCTCCTCCTCCTTCTCCTCCTCCTCCTCCTCCTCAGCTTCGTCCCTCGGAGCTCCTACTCCTCACCCTTCTGCACCGAGCTGCGGGGGCGAGAGCTGCCAAGGGATCGTATGCAAGGGCGCCGTTCTGGCAGATCCAGAGGAGTGCTCTGCTGCGCTGTACGCTTCCACGGAGCCTTTTTGGGGGGCCTTCGGCAAAAGAAGGCGTCGTTCAGCGTCACGCAGGGTGTGCCTGAGAGTCTGTCTCGCCCGAGCAGTCCCCTTTCTTTTGCCACCCCCTATCATGATGGTGGCGTTGGCGTAGTTTAGACCCCGTATACACCTTAGGCGATGCTTAAGAAAACCTAAGTTTTCGGCCAGAGTCTCGATTATTCTTAATGTTTCAATGTGAATCCTATGATTTTAATAGAAGTTCTGGGTTTTTATATTCAAATTCTGAGATTATGAATTTCTTAACCCATGTTTTCTTAAGCATTTCGCAGGGTGTAGTCATCTCCACTATCATTTTATCCGGTCGTCCGCCCTTAATGTTCTAATGATAGTTTCGCTTCCAGCGCACGTGCAACATAATCGCCAGCGGCTCCACGTGAGCGAGGGGATGGACTGGGGTAAGGCCGCCGTGCCATTCAGCGTAAGCCAGCATCGACGGCATCTATCTTGGGCCAAGTTCTTCCCAGTTGGGACGGGGATCGCTTTCACGATGCTGAGTAAGACGCTTTTGTTTTCGTCGCGTACGTGAAGCTTCGGAAAGCTCATCACATTTCTGCGCGGGCATCCGTTCTTATCTCGCTCGAAGCATCCGTCCACGTGCTGGGCAGTCTCGACGTCCACTCCTAGCGACGGTTTCCGAGGTGAGCACCTTCGCACGCGAGGCATCTCTGGCCGTTAGCTTTTGGCTCTGCTCTTGTCTGGTTCATGCTGCCGGCAATTGAGATGTGAAGGGTTCTTTTGGCTTTTGGAGATCCTCAGGTCTCGTGTCGGGAGTTGTGCAATCTTGAGAAGTACTTTGAACATTTACGGGCACAAGAGAGTGGCCAGGTCAACACAAAGCCTGTATCGTTCTGCACTGTCATGCGCGCTTGCACTGCCGAACACGCTCTCAATTGGGCTCTGCCTAGTGTACTTTGCACTGATTTGCGCAAGAGGGCAAGGGGCTTTTCTTCTGCCCCCTCGACTTCTCTGGGATGCCCTTTGATTCGTAGGGATGCCCCCCGTTCTTTTGAATAGTAGCTCTCATTGAGCCTGGTGCTACCGCCTTTGCGTATCAGGCTTTCAGATTGCTTGTTGCTCAGTCTCTAGTTAGCCTTCAGCCTTGCCAGAGCTTGCTTTTGGCTGGAAGTCATACATCAGAGTTATCCCTGAGCTAGTCTCTAGTCTCTACTCTTGTCCGCAGCTTTCCTGCAGCTGCAGTGACCTTACCTTCTCGCATGCGGGCGGTAGGTTCGCTTTGTATCGACGCGACGGCGACCCCGCCGCGGGCGTGAAGGTTGAACGAACCACGCGGTATCGGGAGCCACCGCGCATATTGTCACGACACGAACCTGCCATAGGTAAGGTTTCGGGTTGCGCACAGGCTTTCCCTCCCCCCTAACCCCAGTTGCGCGCCGCCAACATCCGACGGCCCGGTTTTCTCGAGACGTCTGCTCTGACTCTCTCGACCCCTGCCTCACGGCCAGCCTTTTATCCCGAGTGCTTTTGTTGGACGGGGCCGTTCTAGAGCGTTCTGGAACGTTCTGAGAAGACCGCGGCAGCCCGAGACATCCTCCAGGGCCGCCGGATCTCAGAGATTCTCGATTGATCTTCACCCGAATTTATCCTCGTTCTGGCTTCGTCTTGTTTTGTTGCGAGATCTAGGCCTCGAAACCCAGCCTTCAGTGGCCCAAGGTGGCGATGTTCTCCAGCCGCCTCGATGTTTCCGAGCCGCACGATGTTTCGGGTCCCGGGCCCCACCGGTCGACCCGGGGTCCTGTTCTGGGGTGCGCTCCTCCTCGGAGTCTCGAGGCGGCTCCAGCAGGTGCGCGGCGCCGACGAGGGCGCCCCGGCAGGCCGCAGACCTGGCACCGCTCGGGCGTGCGCCTGTTTCCTCGGCGAGGACCCTCGGGGAGCATCCTGGATCGTTTCGCATAAACACAGCACACTTTTTGTCAACGGCCGCGGGCGGAAGCGCCGGCGGCGTGTCAAGTCGAAGCGGGGCGCGCCACAGACTAACTAACAGCAGAGCTGGGGCACAGTACTGCCAGAGTGCGCATGCAAGAGGCCGAGCTAAACACAGCGTGCGCGAAGCCGACACATGCGCGGGGCAGTGTGCGTCGGAGCGATGGCCGGCAGAGAGGCCCACAGACGGCCTCCAGCCTCCGAGGGAGAGCTTGCGCCTCGTGCCCGCCCGCTGGCTGGCAAGTCGCGGAGGCCTCCGCCCGTCTTGCACTGCGCGCGCCTCGGCGACGAGCGCCCAGCAGCGCCCAGCAGCGTCGAATACAGTCAACGCGCCTAGTAAGGACGCGCGCCTTCATCTAGGGTGCCCTTGTGTCCTTGCCTCTGAAGCCCGTCCTTGCCATTATCACTGGTCGCCCGCCGCCCTAAAAAACCCAACTTCGGCCACCAAGGGTCTTGCGTCCTATCACCCGTCCTTAATACACGTTTTGACTGTAGTGCTCAGCCAGCGCCGAAGAGTGCCCATAATGGCGCCCAGTAGCGCCGACGAGTGCTCACATAGCGCGGGCTAGTGCCCAAAGGGCGCCCAACATCACCCAGCAGTGCCGAATAGTGTTCAGGTGGCGCCGGATAGTGCCCAAATAGCGCCCAATTGCGCCGAACAGTGTTCAAGTAGCGCCGAAAAGTGCCCAAATGGTACCCAATAGCGCCCCATGGCGCCATGTGATGGAGGCGGGAGATGCACGACGTCCGCTTTGGTGCGCTGTTGGACGCGATACTGGGTGCCATTAGGACGACCACGAGCTTCTGTGAGGTGTTCTCTAACGTCCGTAGCCTTTATGGCTCAGGTTCGCCGGCCCCAGGCAGCCGGGATGGCCACGCCAGGAGTTTGAGGTGGCCTGGGTGAGCGTTCCGCGCTGGCGGAGCATCACCAGCCTGGAACATATCCCTATCCCTATGACTGGCATCACCTGATATGGATGCCGATCTTCCGGATTCCCTCGGTTTCTGAGGGTGTTTCCTTAGTGTTGTCATCGCATTTGGGCTTGTCGATCTCAGGGGTAGGGACAAGTTTGTGGTTGGTTGGAGCAGAGCGCCCGCAAGCAGCTCTCCAGCGCCTTTGGCGGCGGATGGCCGCGGCAGGCGCCCTCGCCCGTGGCGCGTGGTCCCAGGCCTTTCAAGGGGGGGGCGGCCGAAATGGGCACGGATGTTGGTAAGTCTTCGGGAGTTGCGGGGGTCACTGGATCGGATCGCCGCAGGGGTTGCTGAGAAGTCGCGGGGGGTTGCTGGGAAGTGGATGCCAAGAAGGTTCTAGCAGCTGGCCTGACACAGCCTATAGGAGTGGGCTGGAGGCGCCCTGAGTGGCATGCGGTAGGTGCGCGTCGTGTCGACTGGCGGCGACCTCCTCCTCCTCCACCTCCACTTCCTCCTCCTGCTCCTCCTCCTCTTCCTCCCCCTCCTCCTCCTCCTCCTCCTCCTCCTCCTCGCCCTCATCCCCTCCTCCTCCGCTGGAAACCCAGAATTGGTCGAAGATGAACGATCTGACGTGTCGGAAACGGCTACTT